CCCCGGCGGCGGGGGGCGGGGGGGAGCCGTGGGATGGAAAGTTGGCAGCCGGCAGAGAGGGGAGTGGAAAGAATGAGCTCAAACCCAGAAAAATGCAGCCGTGCTGAAGGGTGGGAGGAGAGGCCAAGGGGGGCCACGGCGAGGTGCTGGGAAATGAAGGGCGGAAGGAAGGAGGAGGCGCTGACGGGGGGCCGGGGGCTGCCTGCGGCCCCAGCTGGGCCCACACCTGGAGCAGGTAGTGAGTGGCTTGGTGTCCCCAGTCCCTCCAGCAAGTGCTCTCGGGGCTGCCCCAGTGCCCTCCATCCCTGGATGGCTGTTGGCCCCAGTGCAATCTCCCCCCAGTCCCACCTGCTCCCCGCTGACATTTTCCCCCATGCCACCCCCCCAGTGCCATCGGTCCCAGCATGTGCCGCTCTGCTCACCACCTCCCTGGGACAAGGGACCCCACTGGCTCCTGGCTGGCACGTGGCCATGCTGGGACACCAGCCCTGCGGGCTGCCCTGGCCCTCCCCGCACACCAGCCTGGCTCGAACGGGCTGCAGAGACACAACTATTTTTTGCTTGATTTCCTCAGCCTGTGCACAAGGACATACCACACCACCGAAACACAAGGACCAGCTCACCCCTTGCCAGCCTTCACTTTGGGCTCCCCACCCCGGCTCAGGATGATGCTCCTGCCCCAGTTAACCGGGGTTTGGTGCAAGAAGAGCTGAATCGGACACCTGGACTCCCTGCTCTCCCCTCTGCTTCTGCGTGCCCTCGGTGGAGGGGTTGTAGGTTCCTGCTTCCTGGGGGGCATGGGGGAAAGCAAGCGGAGCTGGTGGTCTTGTTCCTTGGGCAGAAACTAAAACCAAAGGAGAAGCTTTGGGGGATTCCTGGAGAGGGACTTTGCAATCCCTACCCAAGGGGGCTTTGGGGGTGTCGCGTCTCGAAACCTGAAATGGGACTAGAGTGCTGTAGGGCTGTGGCGCAGGGTGCTGAGCAGTGGGGGTGAGGCAGGGAGGGGAAGCATCACCCTTTGTCAAGGGTTCCCGAGCCAAAGTGGGGTTTGGGGGTGGGTGGGCACCCAAAGGGGTCTGTAAGGGGCTGGGTGAGGGAGTCCGTAAGGGGTCAGTAGCACTGTGACATGCTGGGTCATGCCAGGCAGCAGGCTGGGAAGCAGCGGGCAGCGAGTGGGTATGCTGCCTGTGTGGCTGCGTGCTGCTGCCCTGGGTGCCCGTCCTTCTCCTTTGTGGGAGAATTGGTGGCAGGGAGAGGACAGCGTCCCGGGCAGGAGGCCAGCCCTGCAGAGAGGCACATCGGTGCTCCCGGGAGGCCTCTCCATCTGCCTTCTGCCTGAAACACAAAACTATGAATCATCCCCGGTCCTGAAATAGATTCCTCTTTAAAAAAAAAAAAATAAAGAGAAAAACATTTTTAAAAAATTAGAACTTGCTTTTTAATCCCTGCTGTGCTCCCTGCCTGTGGCTCCGATCTAAACCAGTTTAACTTTGCTCAATCTTTAGTCTTCACTGGTGTCTTTGCT